GTGCAAACTCCACACAGACAGTCATCCAAGGGTGTAATTGAACCTGGGTCCCTGGTGCTGTGAGGCAGCAGCGCTAACCACTGAGCCACCGTGCTGGCCCCTTTTAAACACCAACCCTCTGAAGAGCATCCCACACAGATCCACACCCCCCAAACTTATCGCTGTCACCCACACTTCGCATGGCTAATCCACCTAGTCTGTATATCCCTGGACACTATGGGCAATTCAGCATGGTCAATCTGCCTAACCTGCACACCTTTCGACCATGGGAGGAAACCCACACAGATACAGGGAGAGTAGCAACTGTCTGTGTGGAGTCTGCACAGAGGGTGGAATTGAACCTGGGTCCCTGGCGCTGTGAGACAGCAGCGCTAACCACTGAGCCACTCTGCAGCCCCAAATGTTCCCAAATAGTGATTTAACAAGTTTAACACAACTTCCTTGCTTCTATAATCTACATCCACACTAATAAAGTCTAGGACACTATTAACTTATCTTGCCAAATTGACTGATTTATGCACAGAGATCCCTCCATTCCTGCACCCACTTTAGAATTGTACCTTTTGTTCTATTTGTCTTTTTCACCCCTCGAGGTTCTTCCTGCTTCACACTCCTATCCATTAAATGTCACCTGCCACTAGTCTGCTGATTCCATCAACTTGTCTATGGTCTTTTGGAAGTTCTACACTATCCTCCTCACAGTTCATAAGGCATCCAAGTTTCGTATCATGCACAAATTTTGAGATTGTGCCCTCAACAAGAAGGTCTATGTCAATAATATATATTCAGGAAAAATCAAGGGTCCCAGTACTGACCCCTCGAGAAATTCATTATAAGGTTTCCTCAAGTCTGAAAAACACCCATTAACCATTGCTGTTTCTTATCACACAGCTGGCCAATTTCATAATTGTGCAGGTACTGCTTCTTTTACTCCGAGTCAAAACTTTGCCGATAAATTTGCTGTATGGCACTTTATCAAATGCTTTTTGGAAGTCCATGAACATCATTACCTTCATCAACCTTTTGGTACCTAATTAAAACAAAAACTCCAGCAAGTTAGTTAAGTATAATTTGCCCTACTAACATGAATGAAACTGAAGGAGATGGCTTATCAAAAGGTGTATGTAAGCATTTTTTAAAAAAAAAAAGTGCAGAAATCTTAAATACAGAGCACTTATATTCAAAGATCACAGATTTTAATTCACAAATCAATTGATTACACACCTCTATAAAATTGCAAATCCAGCATTTTCTGCTAAATAGGATTGGAATTCTTACATGCTATTATTGAAGAATGCGTTCAATGATATGTTTGGGGGCAGTTCTGGATACATGTCAGGCCATGAAATTTCTAGTAGGAAGGCTTTAGGGTCACCAAGGTTACCTACCTAAAACAATATGGAAAAACAAAACAAAAGGCAGTAATGGCAGAGAAGTGAAGTAATTATAAATAGAACACTTAGCAATATTGCTCCTAATCAGTAGTTGCATCTGCTCTCCTCTTTTAAGGGAATAAATGGGAAGGGCGGGTGAAATTTTAGCTTTGTCACCAGAATGGCAACCTGGTGGATGCAGATCACCCAGAGTGTGTCAAACTGCTTCACTAGTTTCACCATACAGGTGGCAACGGTCAAATTTATTCCCAGCGTCTGGTAAATTTCCACAGTGACTCTATTTTTAAAAAAAAATGCTTTAAGAAACAGCCAAGACTGCAAAAAAAAAACTGTACCAACACAAAGAGGAAGATGCAACTGTGTTCATCAATCATAACCCCTGGCTTCATGATCAATCATATTAGAAATACATCATACGGGGAAGGTCAAGTCTCACTAAATTGATTGAGTTTTTTGAGGACATGACAAGAATTATTGATGGTGGAAGGGCAGTGGGTGCTGTCTACATGGACTTTAATAAGGCATTTGATAATGTACCTCATGGCAGGCAGGTACAGATGGTAGAGTCTTGGGAAGAGCTGGCTAGACAGATACAAAATTGCCTTGGTCTTAGAACCCAGAGAGCAGCAGTGGAAGGGTGCTTTTCAGAATGGAGATCAGCAACTAGCAGTGTTCCACTTGGATAAGTGCTGGGATCTTTGTTGTTTATAATATATACATATAAATGATCTGGCGGAAAATATAGGTGGTCTGATTAGTAAGTTTGCAGATGACACCCAAATTGGCAGAGATGCAGATAGTGAGGAGGATTGTCAATGGATACAGTGGGATATAGATAGATTGCAGATTTGGGCAGAGAAATGGCAGGTGGAGCTTAATCCGGAAAAATAAGAGGTGATGCGTTTTGTAAGATCAGTTTCAGGTGCCAATTATAAGATAAATGGCAGAACCCTTAGGATAATCCCCGTACAGAGGGATCTGGGTGTACAGGTGGATACTGTAGTCAAGAAGGCACATAGCACGCTTGTCTTCATCAGCCAAGGCATCAATTATAAAACTTGGCAATATGTTACAGCTGTACAAAACTTTAGTTAGGCTACATTTGGAATACTGTGTGCTGTTCTGGTTGCCAGAGTACCAGAAGAACATGGATGCTTTGGAGAGGGTGCAGAAAAGGTATACCAGGATGTTGCCTGATCTGGAGGGTTTTAATTATAAAAAAAAAGAGGTTGGATAAACTTGGATTGTTTTCACTGAAAAGTTGGAGGCTGAGGAGCGATCTGAGAAAGGTCTTCAAAATTATGAGAGGCATAGAAAGGCTGAATAGTAAGGAGGTTCTTTTACCCCAGTGGGGAAAGGTCAACTACAAGAGGGAACGGATTCAAGGTGAGGGGGGAAAATTTAGGGGAGAATTGCAGGGAAAATTTTTCACAGAGTGTAGTGGGGGCCTGGAATGGACTGCCAGTGGAGGTGGTGCAAGCAGACATGTTAGCAATATTTAAGGTGTATCATGATAGACACATGAATGGGAAACGAACAAAGGGTTAAATAGCACGCACGGGCAATAAGACTTGGTGGGCCGAAAGGCCTGTTCCTGTAATGTATGGTATTGTATTGTACAGTATAGTATAAAGTGCAGTTGTGTTACTATTAATTTATACCACATTGCACATATGCCCTTAACGAGAAGGTCTGTGTTACTAATAAATGTCAGGAAAAGTCAAGACTGCCAAAACTGATGCCTGGAGAACAGCTTTACAGGTCTTCCTCAAATAAGGTGCTGTTGCAAATGAGTTCATTCCAATTGCAGCTACATCATTTATAGTGTGTCATGTTTTGAAGTACAGGAATGATAGTCAAAAATTAGTAAATACAATTGCTTTTGCATAAAATGACTTACTTAACCTACCCTATATTGAAAAGATGCTGGACTAAGTTCCTTAAAACAGTCATCTCCTTCATAAATGGAGCGAAGAGCTTCAAGCTCCATCTGAAAACAAAAGCAAAAACCAATTACGACATTAAGGTGGCGAGGAAAGTACTTCATTTTTCACTGTAATCTGTTGACATCTTCATAATATATCCAGATAGGGCAATTCAGATGAAATTTAAATTGCTTTTAAAGAATGCTAGAACAAGCAAAATAATACGTTTTGACAAAGGCTAAATGATCTGAAACATTAATAGTTACTGCCAGACCTGAGCATTTCCAACAGTTTCTGATTTCATTTCAGATTTTCAATAGCTGTAGTTTGCTTTTGTCACAAGTTTGTTAGATATGAAACTGTAGATTTTCTAGAACACTCAAATATATAATGTGGTTTTTATAGGTCCCTCTCTTCAGGAATAGGATATGACAGAAAATCAAAAACTTGAATTAGCTAAATTTTCACACGATCCAACTAATTTTGATATGCTTCCAGAAGTTCAAAATACATTGGACTTTTACAGTAGAAGCCAATGATACATTTTAATTTATTCATTCACAAGACATGGGCATCACTAGCAAAGCCAACAGTTATTATTCATTCTGAACTGCTCTTCAGAAGGTGCTGATAAGAAGTACCCTTCTTATACTGCTGCTCTTGATGTGGTGAAGATAATTCCACAGTTTTATTGCCGAGTTTCAAGAAATTAATTCAGTAACAAAAAAGGAACAAGAATTTTTTTCTGCTGATGGGAAAGTAATTGCTGATGCACACATGCACAAGTTTAGAAGCAGTAGATCATTCTGTTTCCCAAGCCTGCTTCACCATTTAATAAGATCAAAGCTGACATAATTGTGGCCTCAACTTTCCTGTTCACATCTTAAGCACTCTACTTCCTTGTAAGTCAAGAATCTATTTAACAAAGCCTTAAAAATATTCAATACTCGTCCTTCCAGCAGTCTCTGGGCGTTAAAATTCACAAGCTACAACCAACATAGTAGCAGTTTTTACAACATGGAAAGAGGTCCACCATGTCCACAACAATCATCAGGCCTCTACTTATTCTAATTCAATTTCTGACATTTAGATCTAACCTTGTATGCTGTAGCAGTTTGAGATATTTAAGTATTTAGATAAATGCTTAAAGGTTCCAATCCTACCATCCCTCTAGATAGTGAGTTCCAGGCACCCAGCACCCTCTAGGTGATTTTTTTCCCCCACAATTCTCCAATAAACTCCTGTGCCTTACCTTAAAACTCTGCCCTCTGGTTATTGACCTTTTGACCGAGAGGAAGGAGTTTCTCTACACTTCATAACTTTGTATTCCTCAATCACGTCACCCCATCAGCCTCTCTGCTCTAAGGAAAACAACCCCAGCTTGTCTAATCACTCTTTATAGCTAAACAGCTTCAGCCCAGGCAACACCCTGGTGAAACTCTTCTAAACCCTTAAAAATAAGTTTACTGAGAGTCTAGGGTGTAGTATTTATTGCATTGTATTTCCAATTTTATTCCCCAGTACCCCAGTCTCAGGGCGGGTGTTTGTACTGAAATCTTCATAAGAAAATATATGAACACAACAGGGAGGCAATGATTTAGTGGTATAATTGCTGGACTGTTAATCCAGAGACCTCGTAACATTCTGGGGGGCCCACGTTCAAATTCTACCATGACAGACAGTGGAATTCAATAAAATGTCTGCAATTCAGAATCTAACGATGACCACGAATCCATTGCCGATTTTCGGGGGAAAACCCATCTGGTTCACTAATGTCCTTTAGGGAAGGAAACTGCCATCCTTACCTGGCCTGGAGTACATGTGACTCCCAACCCACAGCAATGTGGGTGACTGTGAACTGCCCTCTAGGCAACAAGGGATAGGCAATAAATGCTGCCGAGCCAGTGACGTCCTCATCCCATGAATGAATGAAGAATAAAAGCCTCGCCCAGTTCTCTCCTGTGTTGTCACTGCTCTATAAGGCAAGCAACGAGAAACTACCATCATTCACATTACTGATAGATGCCTGGCAGCTTTATCATCTCCAACTCACTGGTCCTTTAGCTTTTTGGGGACTGAAGTTAGACCAGCGGCCGGGTGTCCGCGGCCTTCTCATTAACCGCTCACTCCCCGCCTGCAGACAATAAGCACTACAGATGCTGGAAGCCAGGTTCTTATAGGTGTGAGGCTGGAAAAGCACAGCAGGTCAGACAGCACCCCGAGGAGCTGCTGTGCTTTTCCAGCCTCACACCTACAGACTCTCCGCCCAAAGCCCTGACACGGGCCACGGAGACAAACGGCCGGCTCAACTGACAGGCTCCATCAGCTCACCGTCTGCTCCTCGTTGGCCGTCATCGCAGTAACCCCGGCGGGCAGGAGGAAGAACTCGCGCTGACAGCCTTTAGAGCCGGGCGGCCTCCATCCGGACCGAGCCGGGTCGGTCCAAGGCTCAGCTCCAGTCCGGGACAAACAGCTCTCCACACCGCCGTTCACCTCTGACCTCGCACATCACTGGCTGGGCCGCTCGACCAATCAGTGTCCCTCGCGTCACGCTTCTTTTCCCCCCCTCCCACCCGCAAGACCGGACGATCGGCGCAGGCGTATCCGGCCCGGGGCGGCGAAGCTTTTGCGCAGGCGTGTTGCTGCTCTCCTACACAGGGTGGGGATTGTAGCGGAGGGGAGGGAGGATGCGTGTAACGTCACCTCGCAGGGAGGCCTGCGTGCCGACGTCAATAAGACGTTGAGAGAATTGCGGGGGTCAGAGGAGGAGGCTGTTGGGCCCATCGGGTCGGCACTGACTCACTGAGTGAACATTGTGATGAAGTACGTTAGAGAGAGGAGCAGAAACAGACCTTCAGCCCAGTGAGTCTGCTGCACCACTGAATGAGATCATAGCTGATCTGATCACCCTCAAACAAGGGTCTGAAGGGCCAAATGGTTTACTCCTGTTTCAGAGATAGTAGGAACTGCCGATGTTGGAGAATCTGAGATAACAAGGTGTAGAGCTGGATGAACACAGCAGGCCAAGCAAA